GAATATCGTAAATTAATTATAAACTTACACGATCAGTTTATTTTTTTCTTTTCTAATCTACATGTCCACATTAATATAAAAACACGCGCGGACTTTTATTCGAGTCACACCCACAATTCAGTTTTTATAATACGACAAAGCTGTATGACACAACGAACTGATTTTTCTTCTACACGGAAACTGAGTAACGTGTTTCGTTATTAAAAACAAAGTGCGTATTCTTTTTAAAGTTTACATTTGCACTGATAATTAATTTAATTATATAAATGACATTTAAATGATTAATTTCAAAATCCGCATCAATTGATAGATAGACATATTGTACCCGAATTTCATATTAATTGATATTTTCATTTCGAAAATTATTCGTAAATAATCAAGTCAGTCATTTAATTAAAATTTTAACGGAAGAAAATTAATAACGCACATGTACACTTAAACAAACAATCATGTGACACTTGTTAGTTATTATATTGTACAATGTAAACTATTGTTTAAGTTTCTATGTGATACATTATAAAATATATTATAACATATCTTACAATCTAAATCTATAGCAATGAAATTTCACTGCATTAAATTGAAATTTCAATGCAGGCTTTAGTGGCAATTGCGCCAATTTTACTGCAAGATGGGAATGAAAAATCCATTCGATAATTAAAGTGAAAAATTTATTCCAAAAAAGAATTTGAAGATTAAAATAATGACAGAATAATGTCATTCCAAATCCAGATAACAAAGCCTACGGAGACAGATTTTGAATTGAGCATACTATCAATCTAGTAATCTATTAATCTTAATTATTAATTATTATTTTATTTTTAATTATTTTATTTTGTCTCTTATATTTATATCATATGTGTTAGATACGTTTCGTCCGTAACGACCATGATGAATGATAAACATGCGACAAACGGTACGCTATGTTGCTAAATTCATTCCTTGCAATAACATTCAATGCATCTTGCATTATCAACTAATACTTAAATCACTTCGATTAATCAAATGAAATAGTCCACTCCTTTATGTAACAGTATACAGATTAACTTCAAAGCAGTGAAAATCCATACTTAAAGCAATGACTTTGCTACTCACTGTTAGCAATAAAATTTTCATTGCTACAGATTTAGAATGTAGAAAATATTTCTCACAAAAAATATTTTAAACACACATATACTCTAAAATAGATACTGAAGTTATTTGACAAAATTTTTACAAAATTTATTAACAATATCAATAGATTCAGGTAACAAATATAAATATTTTATAATTATCAATTTTACGTTATCTTGTTATAGACAAGATACCATTAACTTTTTTTTATGAAAACGAAGATATTTTCTTTAAATTGTTATAACAATTAATTACTGTAATAAGTAACATAAAAAAAGTGTTTTGTAAAATAGATATAATTACTAATATTGCATTACGTATTTTACATTAATGATATAGATTAAGATATAGAAGCGAAGATTAAGCATTAAATATATGATTCATTTATATGTAGTTGTAACAAGGTATGGCTGAATGAAGGCCGCGCGAAAGTCGTTCTATTCGCATAATTTTAATACATAGGTAACACTTGATCCTGTGCTAAAATAGCATTAACCTCACACAAGAAAAACTAAGCGAGATATGTTTTATTGTTTCATAACATAAAGATTATAGTAGATTCTATATATATTTTTTATTATATTTATAGAATAAACATATAATTAAAAATTGGAAACATTCCATTTTTATATCAATGTACTGTTATATCAAACTGTTTATCCGTAGAGTCATCCAGATGATGTATTACAACGTGGAATTTCATCATTTTATTAGAAACCATCAACCATGACTAAAAAAATCTGAGAGAGAAGCAAGAGGAGGAAGAAGAAAGAGAGAAACTTGTATAAACTAACAAGCAAATATGCTTAAGATACTTTAATAGAAAAATAATGTTTTAAAGATAAGGAGCTTGTTTTGCACGTGAGAATGCATGTTAAAATTAGTGATATAATGAACTTGTAATTAGTAAATATATATACAGTACAATCATTTGATGCAAAACTTATTCTTTCTTGACTGGTTTAGTTCTTGCACGTAATTAACAATCGAGCCCACTGCGATTGCACAATTATGAGAAATCATATAAGCATTATTCATCAACAACAAAAAATCTTGTACAATTTTAATATCGATGATATAATGTTAATTATAAATAATGTAATAATGTCAATGATGCATTAAAATAGCTAGAATTCTTAATCTATTCAGCTATTCGCAATATGCGAATAATTTAATTATTTGCACTCTTCCTCATACGAAATACGTGCGCGATCGCAATACATTGTTTTTTATGATTGTTACATAAAATAATTATTCTAGGAAAACCGATATTTTTTGTTTCACATAATTTAAAGTTTATTTTTATAGACAATTTGTAATTTATTATATGTCAGATTTCAAATTGTAAAATTCCATTTATAATTTCATATGTAAAATTATATACAAAAGAAAAAATTATACGTAGTTAAAAGATTGCGAATTCGATCGAGATTGTAGGTCGTTTAAAGTAGATTTTAGATGCGATTGTTAATGCGTGAAATATATGCCTGACCACGCGATATATTTTTTTTTTCATATACATATTACGTAAACAAAATATTTCTTCAATGTTTTATCCGTTTCGTAAAAATAGATTCAATCAATTTTGTTGTATGAGCGCTGATCGGGAATTTACGATGTATAGGCCAGTATTCATAGTCAGATCTTCCATTTCAAGACCGTCTTAAGTACAGTTTTAAGAAGTCACGAACCATTTAAGACGCATATTAACATCTTAAAATATTACTTAAAACAGTCTTGAAATAAGAGCGGATTATGCATACCGCCCCTAATTAGAAATGGCATCTTCAGTTGCATACATAAACGTCATTTTTGTTTGAAAGCCTTCTCCCAAGTTTCCCTGATTTCCTTGAATTGATTTACGGAAGAAAAATTTATAATATGCAGTCGAGTAAAGCAAAAGCGTGCAATGATTTCGCGGAATGCACCACAAAAAGACTCGGCGACAACATATTCATTTCATTTTATCTCGATTATATCCACATGAATCATTGGACACACCCAAATTCTTACAAATTCTAAAAATACTATTAATGTACTATTAAAGGAATATAATTACAATATCTCTGAATAAAAAAGATCCCCAAAAAGTCATTGTCAGAAATAACATCTAATATTTCAAATACGATTAGAATAGCTAAATTCGTTGCACGGCGAATGACAAGGTAAGCATCATATTGCTCTCAAAAGTCGAATCGACTGGATATCCTTGGGACTTCCATAATATGGTATATATTCGATTTAGTCAATTTGACGCACGTCTACACCTGGCACGACATATCAATATCAATTTAATATGTCGATACATATCGCAGAGATATCGGAATTTGATTGAGGTTAAAAAAATATAAAAAGTACTTCGCGATGTATTTTATGTGAAACAATATATGATATTTTATATATAAACTAATAATCATATATCTTAAAAGAAAACTAAATAAAGTACAATTCAAAAAATTATATTATATTCTATTTGTGATAAATAATTGTTTGATATTATATATTAATTGGATTTCAACTGAGAGAGAGAGAGAGAGAGAGAGAGAGAGAGAGACAATAAATTTATTTAAAAAGTTCAAAGATTCTTTACAGATAAGTTTCAAATAATTATTAATTAATTGCGTTAATGTCGACAACCATATCGACACGTAATTATTATTTCTGAAGTTAATTTATTCGTTTGAATAATATATATTATATATTAGTTCAACATCTTAATACTTAGACCGTAGTGGCGCTTCGGATTGTAATGTTATTTAATATAAACGGTCTTGTTCCTATCTTATTGTTAGACTGTTAATGTTTAACGAAAATTATTATTTACAAATTGTTAACGAAATACTCAGTGAAATTTGCAATTATATCGACACACAAATAATTCTCAACAGGAATTCCTCAAGAAAAAACTTTAGAGATTCGTAAATCACATATCGCTTTTTATGGTATACTTTTATGTTCCACAGATTCGTTTTGTTATTTACGTATATATAGATAAGCCTGTTGGAACGGGCCAAGCATTTTGCAAAACTCATAAATTTAGCACATTCATGAGTGTACATCAAGGAATTGTTTACTAGGAAAAAAGAAAGACGCAAATCAAAGACAGATAAAGCGATTTTATAAAATAACAACATTACTTTATTGAATATTTGGTATTAAAAAACGCAAAATATTATCGAAATTATTTGCAATTATCTCCATAATAAAAATTTTCGTTAATCGCTACAATGTTTTTCTCATATTTTTTCTCAATGCCAAGCATTAAATTCTTTTAAATAGTTAATTAGCCATTTTAAAAGAAGATAATATTTTTCTTTATCTTTAAATCATTATCTTGCAAAGCTAATTAATAAAAATTGGGTGAAGTTAAAAGTTGTCATCAGAGACAGCATGTTTGATCGAAAGATAAAATTCTAATATTTTTAATTGCTGCGCTGCGCACGTAAGTGGATCAAATGACATCTGAATCATTTTCAAAAATATCAGATTGCTATTTTTCATAGTCTATCACACGTTTCTAAAAAATCAATAAAATGGAGTTCTTGAAGTCAATATAATAAAGTTCTCGAAGATAATAATAACTCACTTTGACGTTCACTAACAATTATAATTTCATACATAATTCATACATAAATGAGATGTCGCGTGGCGGAATGTGAGTGTTCGATTAAAAAGTTTCAACATAAAGAATTTCCCTATAAGATCGTCAATTGCGGTTTTCTGTAAGTTTCCTGCTATTTATTTACGTGTCCTTCGTGGAAGGTGACGATCAACGTCAGGAAAAAGGATTGGATTGCTTGCTCAGAGCGGGAAACTTGCTAATAAAAATCGTTGGAATTACGAGCTTGTTCGACTGTTCCAACCCCCACTTACCCACTCATGTCAGCAGAGAGGCGAGAGTAGAAATATAAACACCATCCGTAGATTGTGATGTCGTGAAATCGTTGATTCCGATCGCGACGGTTGTTCAGATCGTTTCGGATTAAGTTGAAAGTGCTCGTTCGACCTAAAAGTGCTTTCGGGAAGATACCGGGAGAATGTTTCTGCAATCGACGATTTTCACCATATTTCTTAGCAGCCTTGCGTTATCAGCCACTCCCGATGTAGAGCTGCAATTGCTTCACGTGGTAAAGTTTTACTTCATTCATTCAAGTGCACATAGAAAGCGTTCGTAACTAGTGAAAATTATTTTTTCTCGGAAGATTGTATTCAAATAATGATGTAAAAAAATTATGTTTTTTTTAAAGATTTAATTTAATACTTTTCTGATTTTTTGCAAATATGTAATAATTATTTTCTCTTTTTCCAAAATGTGTTATTTCTACACTTTGTTATATCACTGAGAGGCAAACATAAACTTTGCAAATTATGCAAGTGTGAGTTCGATGCCGAGAGAAATTTTCGAGAGAAATTAAAAAGTTAAAAGAAAGCGATCCCCCGTGTCAAGTAACAAAACATTTACATTATTGCGATACCGTCTGTGCGGTGACAGTGATGGTAACGAATGAATATTAACATAGCTTAAATAAGTATATTCTGTTTCGAAGGTATTTCGTCATGGTGATAAAGTGCCCCATCGAGAGTTTCAAAATTATCCCAATGATCCATATCGCAACTATTCTTACTATCCAATGGGAAACGGAGACCTGACCAATGTAAGTATAAATCACAACAGTTAAAACAATAAAATATATTATATCAGTAATCAAATATTATCAATCCAAACGTGATTTAATTGTAGTTTTAATGTTGTCTGCTTAAAATCAATATCGTGTTTTTCAACTATTTCCTTTTCTTATATTTTTTTAAAAAATGTTAATATGTTTTATGTTTTTGTTAAAAATAAAGAAAATATTTTTGTCGCTATCAGTGTATCCTTTCAAAGAGTGGTGGCTCTACCCCCCAATTTCTGTATCTATCCGCATTTGACTTATATTTTAACATATAATTACTAAAACAGATATAATAAACGTAAGCTAATTGTTTAAAATAATATTGCATAAATTATATTTTAATTATACTTACAATTTCAATGTACACTCATAACACAATATTCTCAACTCCAATACAGACCACACTAATAGAGAAAAGCTTAAAATCTTGCAATATTTTACTAGACTCATATAAATTCCTCTAGATTGTGATATGTATCTTTCGGAAAATATTTATTATACTTTAATAGTTAAAAAATAGAATATCATCTTTAGTATCGTATATATTAAAATAATTTAATTTAATAAAAAAAATACCTATTATTTAGTAGCATTAGTTTTTTTATGACTTATTTAAATACGAAGACATACTAACAAAGTCAATAACAAAATCACACTAACAAATACAATAATAGAAACAGTTACTCTTGAAATAAATTAGGTTACAACGCTATCATTAAATCTTTATTTATTTTTATTCTTGTTATCTCTCTTTTGTCTCTTACTCTTGTCTCTATTTTTATGCAGCATAGTATAAATGTAAGAGAGAGTATAAGTGTTTTTCAAAATTTCTAAAATAATTAACTTAAATAATTTCCGTAAATGAGAAATCAATTCCCTACCTTTGTTAAATATTCGTTATTTTCCGTTAAAATTGAGAAAACAGTTCGGTTTAAAAAAAGTCTATAAAATTTTCCGGCTCTTCGAAACCTATCCAATTCCATACTTTTTCTTATACAATTAGCAAGGCAAGATGCGAGAATACAAAATTGGGACAATGTTGCGCGAGAGATACGATCAATATTTCGGACCGGATTATTGGCCGTCCAAGATCTATGCCCGATCTAGCGAAGTCCCGCGGACTCAGTTGTCTCTCCAGTTAGTTCTGGCAGGATTATTCCCGCCCTCCGAGAAGCAAACCTGGAATCCGCACTTGCCCTGGATTCCGACATGGACGTTCTTCGTGCCATACAAGACTGACAACCTCTTGTTTCCGCATTACTGCTATCGGTAAGTAACTTTACAGAGAATTGATCACAAGGATCTGATAACAGGATTGACGATCAAATCTCTTTCTTTTATCTCCTTTTTCCAATCTTTTTTTCATAAACGCTTAAAATATATTTGTTTCCCTTTTTTGTCTTGTTTTCAACTATTTTAGCTTTAATATAATCTAGAATAAAAATAAAACTTTCAAAAAATAGAGAGAATAGATTTAACTATTTTTGTATGTACTCTTCTGCGCAGGTGCATAATGTTTTATACAGAAAACTCTAATAATATTTTAATCTAGCATTTATAATTGTTTCATTTTTAGTCTCAACAAACGGTCATGCTAAAGTTTTAGTTTTTAAATAATTTGGTGTGAATTTTTATACATATCCAATCCAGCAAACTGCATACTAAATTTAATTTTTAATCTTGAAACGCAATCATAAACGGAACTAGAAATTAAAATTATTTACAGATTTAAAAGAAGCTTATTAGTATCAGATCATTAATATCCTTCTAAGATGTCTTGAGCATCAATCTTATTATGTTGCTTGTTAATTTAATTTGTGATATTACTATTTTAGTTTTGTTTATGATTGTGTTTCAAGATTGAAAATTAAATTTCACGCGCAGTTTATAAGATTGAATATGTGATATATAAAAATTCATGTATGTCAGAACACCGAGGAGACAAAATTTTATTTTATTTCTTTTCGCATTGTCTCTATTATAATTTTAACTATTATTTGTACCCGAAACTTTGACTCTACTCTTTTTTGACTTAAGGCTCAGACTCATATTTGCATTCTCCGTTCACTTTTAATCAAACATTCGATTTACTAAAATTGACATTATAAGTATTTTAATGATTAACTGCAAGTAGCTTTTATTATGCGTACGTTTTTTTCCATTATACATTATAATATGTACATTATGATATTCGTTTTCTTGTTACCAGTATCAGAGCAAAATAGATAATTTATTATGTTTTTGTTTTTCCCGACTGTAACTATTATGTATGTTTTTAACATTAAAAATGATCCGATCGCGATCGAAACATTTGCTAGCTTTCTATATTAAATTTTTAACTTGAAACATTTCTGTTTCTTTTATTTTTTTGTACATTTTATGTTATCATGTTTATTTTATATAATAATTTTTGGCTCGTTTTTTTTCTTTGTTTTATAAAATTTATAAGCCTTATTACTAATTAGATATAAAAATTCATGAATTATTGAAGCACTAAAGACCCAGAATGATCATTTAAGGCTTTCATTTTCTAGTTGTGAATTCATATTATTGTCTTAAAAGATACTTTGTTGAAAACAAAAATTAAAATTAAAAAAGCGGTTACGAACCAAAGTTGCTAATGTTTAATAAATCTTATATATACATCAAGTACGAACAAATCTATCACTAGGTCATTTTCAATAATAAAATCAATGTTAACAAAATATAAATAATAATAAATTTCAATCGCAAAGAAGCAATCATTAAAGTAGAGAAATAAATAAGCATTAAAACGTCCAATCAAAAAATGCAAACATAAATTATTTTATAAAACCGATGATTAAAAATATTTTCTTATACATATATAAATTTTGTTACTTCTCTCTTCTGATTATAAAACGATAATATTCCAATAACGTTCAATCAGTAGAAATCTCTGTTGTTATCAATTAACAAATATGTCTCGAAATATGATGGATGGCCAATTGCAATTGCATGACTAAAAGTCTCGATTACAAAAATTGTTATATCATACTTGCAAAAGTAGATCAACGGTCTGAAAACGTGAGAAAACTCCATCGAGTCCTATAATTCCTTAAAAAATTTCAATTGCAATCAGTTACAAAAACACAAAATTTTGTAAAACAGCTACGACTGGAATCTTCAAAACAAACAGATGACTATCGTTAAATTTTAAAGACCAATCAATTCATTACTTTGTTTAATATTTTTTTCTCTTTGTTTTTTAGATACATAGAAGAATATCAACGGTTCCTTCAACTAGATGCGAAAGAGATAATTAATAAGTACAAGAATATAATGGATTACTTGACGGATCACACTGGTAAACTAATCAATACTACGGAAGCAGTTGGTCATTTATATAATCTACTGAAAGAGGAGGTAAGCAATTATTCCGATAGTAATAAATTTATAAGTTTATCTAAATTTTTATTATATAATCATTTCCAGAGTGCACAAAATTTGACACTGCCAAAGTGGACTCAAAATGTTTTCCCAAGTCCGATGATAGAGTTGATAGAGTTAGACTTCAAACTTCGATCATATACAAAAACTTTAAAAAGATTAAATGGAGGTTGGTACTGTGCTATTATTGCAGAATGTCTTTGAAATAAATCAGCAAACTCTAATAGTGAATTTTATTTATCTTAAAAAGATGTAAGCAAAAGTATTAAGAAATCTCCAGGAAACTGAGAAAAAGATTCGAGATTGTCGTATCACTGATAATAAAAGATCAAGCTTAAAATTAATTGTAGCTTTGTGATACAATGAAAGTTATACGTCATATCTAAAGAGCAAATAATTATATTTATTATCAGAATTCTGTTTGACAAGATTAAAACTATAAATACTATAATAAATATGCAACAATTTTATGCAATTAATCTCAAGGAAGTATGTAATATAGAAAATGTATGCAAAATGTATATTTTCATTTGTTAATCTCAAGGAATGTACGAGAACATAAAATGTATAATTATTTTATACTCTGGTATAAATTCTACATTCAAGTTCATAAGACGTCAATTTAAAGCACAAGAAAATTATTTCCGACAGCTCCTTTAAAACTTAAAGAAAGAATAATATTCATTTTAAGATCAAATCTCTATGAATTTCTTAGATATTCTTGTATAAAATTTCTGCCACAAGCAGAAAGCATTTGTAATTCAGCAATAATTTTTCCGGATTTACAATTATGCAACTATATTTTCTTCATCTTCAAGATAAATAGAACATATTACTGAGATTTTTAAATTTATTCCAGGGACTTCTTACATTTTCTTTTTATTTTATTATTTAAAAATAAAATCTCAAAATTTCTAATTGTATGATAATATGGTGTTTATATGAACAGGCATGCTGCTTCGTAAAATAGTGGATGACATTCAAGAGCACCGAATAGGAAAATCACCACGTGATAGAAAAGCTTTTCTGTTTGGTGGCCATGAATTTAATGTAGCTGCTCTTGCCTATACTTTAGGAACAAACGAACCAACAGTACCACCTTATGGTGCTACGATCATTTTAGAAACTCTCCGAGACAACAAGGGAATTTATTACGTACAGGTATGTTAATACAAATATCTCACGCAACAAATAAGGTCATTGGAGGCAAGATGCCACATTTAAGCCTTTATTCTTGAATAACTTCTTAATGTTATTGAATTAATCAACGAAAAAATATTATTTATACATATTCTAGCAGCCTTTCTTTATTCATACAAATCAATAAATTAAATAATATTCCGTATTATTAAAAAAAATTGATATGTCATACTCTGTAAAAGTGACATCTTCCCCCTATATATACGGATAAGATGCCACACCTACGGGAAAAGATGTCATAAACAATTACATAATGTAATGCAATACAAACTTGTATATTTTATTTATTTATAGTTCATAATCAAGGGTTTAAGCTATAAGAACACATAAAGGGATGATAAAACAAATTGACGAAATATGAAAGAGAATAATTTAAGGACATACTTTTATTTGTTTAAACAGCATTTTATTAATTTAAAATATTTCGAATTATATAAAGCATTTTAATTCAAAATTTTAATTTATAAAATCGTTTTAATGATGGTTTCAAGCAGGAAAAATTGTATTTTATATTTACTATCATCTTATTCCCAAATGTAAGAGGAATCTTCAATTGCAACTTTTACGCATATAAGAATATTACAAATTATAATATATATCATCCACATGACCTCCAAGAAACACTGATTAAAACCGTATATCATTTGCCCGGTTTTACAGTAAGCATCGAAATACAGATCTTAGCTATTAGCATACCAAATATTACAAGAGATGTTTCACGACCTACCTTTTCGTATTTCGTATAATCTTTACCAATTAACTTTGAACGTGTTCATCTCTGATAACTGCGCAACTATTTATCACATGCTTGTGCACAGTCAGTATGGTCAATGCACGTTCTATAAAAAAATATAAACAAAATCTTCCCCCTTGTGGCATTTTCCCTTGAATTATCTTAAATCTAGAAATTATATTAATTTTTATAGTAATAAATTTTCTGTAAACAATTAATAACAAATCTACTTTCCGCGAAATGCAATTCAAGAAAAGACTTGGTTCTATTTTCTATTCCAATATAATATTTATTTTTATATCTTACGAAAAGCCTCCATTTGATGTATAATAACTGTCGGAACTATTACTGTTTAATATCTCAACATAATTTTTAAAACATTCTTTTTAGACCTGGTTTCACAATTTACAATCAATTTTTTAACCAAAATTCAATTTACTCCTCATCTTTTTTCAATTCTAGAATCAAGCGCTTGATATTAAAAATTTATTTTTCGTGAACCTCTCCACAGGTTTTATTATGGTCTGGCGTTACGGAACAATTGAAAGTACAGAAAATCCCAGGCTGCGCAGAGATATGTCCCTTTGAGGACTTCCTTAGAATTGTGAAGGACGTTCTGCCGAGTGATGATGAGTATTACTGTCGTTGGGATAAAACAGAGGATCTTAAAAAAAACATACATCATCGATCGTCGGCAGCATGTATCGCCAATGACAAAACTTCGTGGTACATCTTTCTCACCGTTCTCTTCGCATTTACATCAAAATTCGTGCAAAAGTGATTTTTATCAATATAGTCAGAATTCTAGATACTTATTCTTTTTTTTCTGCAGAAAAAGATAAGAGCACAGCTACATGTCCTTAAGTTAAAAGGAAATAGTTGCGAAAATCGACGCAGTACGCGTTCTGACCAATATCGGAAATACTTTGCCGAACTATGAGAACGTTCGGGAAGCCCAACGAGGTTGTGGCTATGCGTTTCGCTGCATGTGCTGCGGTTACCACGTTAATGCATTTTACCGCACGCGTTGTTACACTGTCGCGTTATACACAGACCACTGTATATATGTAAATAGCTATCGGTATATCAATTTCATAGTAGTCGATATCGTATTCATTTAGAAATAGACATCTCTCACTCATAGACACGTATCACCAAGAATATAAATACTGTAAAACGTGTCTAAATTCCTAAACTATAATAAAAAAAAGTATAAATATATATATATATATATATATAAAATTCTTCTTCAATATCATATTTACTTAAAGGGAAAAAAATTACTTTTTTTTATTATAGTTTAGGAATTTAGACACGTTTTACATCCTGTGATAATATTTCATAAATAAAAAATTTAGTAAATTTTTTTATTTTCTTCCGGACATATGAAAAAATCATTTGGACCTTATCTGGAAAATTTAATTGCTCATGTTATAAATACATATGTATAATACACAGAATTGGGAAGTTACTTGTAACTAATTTATAATTAGATCCGAATTTTCATTTTCTGCTTAACTTATGGTTAAACTTAATCTGATATTTTATCTAATTGATTTCTATGATAATGTCATGGGTGAAGTATATTGGGTGAAACATCAGATTAAGTTTAACCATAAATTAATCAGCTAAAAATTGAGTCTTAGAGTTACTATTTTTTAGTAACTTTAACTTCGTTCCTTTTTTTCCAGTTGTAACTATAATTTAACTTAGTTACATTTCCTTTAATAACTATTTGATTTATTTTTACGTTTTAAACTTATTTGTTAATTTAATGTGATTGGTTAGAATCTGAATAGTTGCGCTACTACCGCTACCGGTAGAAAACAAAGGCTGCGACAGACAAACAATTTAGGAAATTATTCTGTAACTCTTAACGACTGTAATTGTAGCTTTACAATGTCATTGCGCAGCTTTTTTATCATACACAAAACCTATGCAAAGTTACAGTCGTTAAGAGTTACAGAATAGACTCCTAAATTTGGCTTATTGTTGATGTCTACTAACTTTAGCTCTCGTAAGCGAATTATCTGTACAAATATTATATTATAATAACAGCGTTTTTATTACAATTTTATTCTGTTGTTGTTAATGTCAACTGATTCCTTACATGTAAAGAGTCGTCTATAATGGGAATAATATGGTATAAATTGTATAAGCAATAAGAAATTGACCAATCAAAGTATAATGAGGAGAATAATTAATTACGACTGATTAATTCCTTATAACTTATTGCTTACTAATGCAATATTATTCCTACTGTAGACGAAAAGCACATTATATTATCTGTTTGAATATCATAAGTCAGTAAAATCATAAGCGAAGCGACCAATCACAGTAGATAACGTGAAGTTATTAGCTTATATTATATTTTTTCTATTATTGGTCAATTCGTTTACTGCTTACATCTCAAAATAGAACAAAAACGTTTATAAAGTATTTAGGAATAGCTATTTTTGTTTTAAAACCGTTTAAGGTTATTTTAAAAATGATTTTTATATAGGAACCGATTAAATAACCATGTTGTACAAACGTTTCAAAATCGTTGTTTTTTAAGATAAAATATAAATGAAAAGAATAAGTAAGGATCGCATTGAACTATATATCTTATTTTAATGAAACGAAGACATGAATTTGTCAAGTTACAATGTCTGGCTGTGTAGCAGATTACTGCACAAACTCATTTCTGATTTTATCTCATTCGCCCTTTGTCCGTACTAGCTCTTACTTGAGGTACTCTATGGCTGCTATTTCATTTGTGCGTTTTTGTCGTGCGACAAATGTGTGCAGGACAGAGAGATCCTCGGATCTATCTATCTTATAGCCAATCAACAGGCTTGAAAAATTTGTCGAACAGAAATGCATAAAATAGTGACCTTTTAGTATACTCTGTATTTGCAGCTACTGTATAATATTTATCTCTTTGAGAAAGGCCAGTTAGACTTATGTGAACCTGGCATCCGAATTAAAGAAAATAATTTTTTTAATATCTAGGCATTAAATTAAACTCGGTTTATATCTGTTTGTACCTCAAAAGTTTCAAATATATAAAGGGTTAAAAAAATGTCCCACTTTGAGATATTTGAAATCTCTAAACGGTGCTGTTTCGGGATCATTTGTACCCGTCTGTACCACCATCGATTTCGTTTATACCCTTAATGGTGAATTTGGTTCTCACCCCTGTTTTAAAAATAAGGTACAATGAACCTTTTAAAAATACAAACGAAACTTTTTTTATACAAACGAAACTAACGGGCACAAACGAGTACAAACGATCCTAAAACAGCATTCGTTTACAGATTTAAAATATCTTAAAGAATGGCGAAGTTGGCTCTCACCCTTATTTTAAAAATTCGGTACAATCACCCCCTTAAGGGTAACGAAACCGATAGTGATACAAACGGGTACAAACGATCTCGAAACAGTATTGGTTTAGAGATTTCAAATATCTCAAAGTGAAATGCTGACATTTTTTTTAACTCTTTATATTGTTTTTAAAACCCTTGAGATATAAATGAAAAGAAAAATGGTACAAATGGATATAAATCGAATTTAATTTAATACCTATTAAAATATATTATTTTTTTTTAAATCAGGTGCCAGGTTCACATAGATACTTATCAGAACTTTTCTAATCGCTCCTTCACTAACTGTTTACGTAAAAATTTCCAGTCATATTTAGGTAATTTTCATATACATATAACTTCTATGTAAAAATTACGTGCATTTTTTCAGTGAATGGACGTCCAGGACCTATTATAAAATCGGATTATACAGATGTTGTAAAAACGTTAGATAAATTTGTTGATAAACGTTTTAAAATAATTCTGTTAAAATAAAAAAATATAACGTAAAATAGTTTTTATACTGGTTTCATAAACGTTTAATTGATTATTATTTCTAATGTTTTCTACATAGATTTTCTACTTATAACGTGTTAAAAACTTTACTTATAACCGTTACTGACATTTTTTCAACAGTTTTTTAACATTTTTGTTCTACTTGGGATCTTATTAGCTTTGTTAAATAATATTTCTAAAATAATAATAGATGATTATATGTCAACTCCTGTTAATATTATGTTATTAAAAAGTAATAATATTTAATTTTAAACAAATATATATACACATATAAAAATCGCGATATATCGCGTACACTGCATTTAAAAAAAAAATCGCAAGCATGATGCACAATTTTGAAAATCGTACATCCCTATTATTTATAAATTCAGGAACAGTAGCGATTTTTTTATCTCGAAATTTATCACGAAAAGTTAAGTCAGAAAAAAGTCTTTAAAAATTTTTGGAAGCATTTGAGAACATAACAACAAGATTTTCTCTTTTTTCAGTCAATTCTTTAATCTTAAAGAAAAAAACCTTTTGTAAAAATAAGTTTTTACATAAGAAATTCGAGAGTATTGCGAAAAATCATCGCACCATATTTTTTAAAAACCATCAATTTTTTAAATTTTATTTTACTAATTTGAAAACAAAATATAGAAACGAAACTAAAAAACAAATTCACAACTTTATCTTTTCTCCTTAAAATTTTCCTTGAAAACTTCTCTCTACGATTTTTTTCCGAAATGAACGGTAAGGACATACATGCAGCCATATATACATTTAATATACCTAATATACAGCATTAAACTCTATAATATACTAAAGAACCGTCGTTAAAGTAAATGAATGCTCTAATAAATTGTGTGTTCTGTGCCTCTCCAACATGTTATGTGAGACAGAGAATACATGATCTGTTACAGATATCTGTCTCTCGATTGACTTACTTTAAGAACAGTTTTTCTTACATTACGAATCCTTTTGTTCTGTAGAGTTCAATGACATACAATTTTCTATCACGATTATACAAAAACACGGGCTCAACATGTTACAAAGAACTTTATACTGCCGGCGTCGCTGTATTATGAGTTGCTATAGTTATATTATTTTTATCTGCTTTAAATATACATGACTGAAACCATAACCAATAATCATAATCTTCACAATATCTGTCTGTTATAATAGTAATCATTATATCAGTCCTTATAGAAAGGATTTTAATACATATAAATAAAATTTCATAAGAATTACACCAGTATTGCTTAAATAAACATTTAAAAAATCCATTTTAACACTGTACTTTCCGCTAATATGAGTATCTTTTATATATAGAGAAGATATGTTTTGCAGTGTGAAATTTTCAAAATCGAAAAGTAGGACTTGATTAATATTCATATGATAGGCGTCCATAATTAATCGTCATTGATAGAAATCACCTGCGATACACTATAACATTTTTTTTCTCACTGTTCTGGATACAAGTCTCCAGAAAGCACATTACCCATTGTTACATTTTTAAATATTTATTATAAAATATTTAATGTTAAATATTATAATGTTATATTTATAATCATGTGTAAAGGTTGACAAATCAAGTATTAATAAATCAATGAAAGATTTCTCCAAATATGTTCTCGATCTGCTTGTCTTTATTGATACGCTTTACAACATCACAAAATAAAAATGATATAAGTTTCTTTCACGTGTTAAATACGTAATTAAATTTTTATAAAAATCTGGCAGTAGAATGATCCCAAGTAAAAAATAAGCGACAGTTTGTGACGGATATTTAAATATCACAGATAGCGTAATCAGATTAAATTCTCCGTTTAACGAATGCGAAATTGGAGCAAATTTGATTCCAAAATGAACGAACCGACTCTTCTATTTTTGTCGGGGTGAAGAGTTCAAGAACCTGAAGAAAACGCGATCGAAAAGTGGTCTCCACGTAGAGTTGCGAGGTGGAAATAGACATTGCTGCTTCGATCGACATGTTCATCGTATTGATATAGAGCGCCGTTAAAATTGCAGAGAGAAAAAGGGCAATTTATATATTTTTTTATGTACAACCCGACGTTTAATATCACGTTTGATAGCGTACTAAGTTATCACGAAGGACGTTTGAGAAACACTGTCGGAGCGATTCACGCGCGATCCTCCGCTGCCGTTTTTCTGTTCTGCATGGAATCGAGATATCTCAACGCAGATACGTGCATCAAGAGGGGTCTCTGCACTTTCGTCACGGTGATTCACCTTCCGTGGCGAAACTACGGATGCGTGCGCACCTAAGATGTACTGTCAAGAAGTCCGTTTTGTATCAAGTATGTTATTTACATAACGACAGTTCTTGATAGTA